TTTGTGACATGCTCACTGAAGAGACTTCCGATCATTTTCCCTATCCCATAATAATCCAATATTATTTTATATATATTACATATTTATATGTATTTTTATATAGTCTTATATATAAAACTGGCCCTTTGAGTGCAACCATGATGCTGATGTGGCCCGAGATGAAATTGAGTTTGACGCCCCTGTACTAGAGGAATGTGTCCTTGGCTTGTCGAAGTAGTCTTTGAACATTCGAAAAAGAACCAAGGTTGTGTGTAGTTTTAAAATGTACAGTTTAAAGGTCACATATTATGCTCCAGGATCCAGCTAGCCGACTGTATATAGGGGACAATAGGTAGGGGCGTGGGCGGGACGTTGCCAAGAGTTCAATGTAAAGCCAGCCCACATTTCCAATATTACATCATATTGGCAGAACATCTGGATCAGCTCTGTTGAACCCCCGTTTTTAGAGATGTGGTAAGGAGGAAAAGAGAGAGGGTTGTATTTTCTGACACACCGGGGACACATATTAATTACAAGACATCAAAAGTGCATTTTGCATAATAGGTGACCTTTAAAAAAACGTTTTAATCAATGTTTTAACAATCTACACAACCTGTCAGACAAGAAGACATCCCCAAAGTTCAGGACCACCAACCTTCAGGTGCTGCGATGCTGTAGGCTCTCATCGCGATGACTTCCTGTGAACGGTGAAGGTCACAATAGCTAGCCGTTGCCAAATCCAAAGACACAGCTTCACCAATGAAGGCAAAGTTTCCCTCCTGGGCTCGACGAATCCCCTCCTCCATGCTGGACACGTAGCTCTTCTTACGCTCCATGTGCTGGTAGATACGGTGGTATACGGGGTTCTTGGAATTCTAGTAAAAAATACAAAATAAAACATTTTAATCTTACCATTGTCCTTAAGACTGCATTCTAAGGCTGCACTAAATCAAGACCAGATGTATGAATGAGCTGTAATGACTGTGAACTGTATTTAAGAGCGGCCGAATTTGCCTTAAAGAAAGACATGGAGGATCCACCCTCGACGGTGCCATAATCGATGGCATTCTGGTTAGAAAGGTCTTCAAAACTCTCGACAGGGAGTTGTTTGCTGGAGTGAAGCTTTGAGGTGAAGTTGCCAAAGTAGCTGGCCAGAAGCAGAACAGCAAACAGCCACCAGATGGCGCTGACTACACGTCCAGACAGGGCCTTGGGGTGAGGACCAGCACCTGGAGGACAGAGAGGACAGTGAGGATGCTGCAAAGGACTGCCGCAAACCAATTCCTTTTAAAGCTAGCACTTATACTCATATAAATGTAAGCTCGATACCGAATACAGACACGGTTCACTGACAATGATCACAACATTGAGTTGTTGATGTTGTTTTCGTGTGATGTTATTGAAATATGACTGATCTGACTCAAAATTCCTATTGTAAAATACTTCTCACAAAATCACTTTCAGCCAATCTTTGAGAATATAAAAGATAATGGTAATGCATGGTGCATCAAGTTTACCAACATTTTACAACATTGAAAATGTTCCATCATTGAATTTATAACTCTATTTTTATTTCCATTAATGCAAAGAGTTAATAAGAGTAGAATTTCAGCTATTAAAAAAGATGTAGGGTACCAATTCCTCTTTAGATGCTTGTATATTTATTGAATATTTTGACTGTAAATAAAGACATTTATTTGCGTGCGTGCGTGTGTGTGTGTGTGTGTGTGCGTGCGTGCGTGCGTGTGTGTGTGCCTGCTCGGCAGTTTACCTTGCAGGGTCAGAGCCCCGGCGAGGTACCAGAAGCTGTGCAGCAGAGTGAAGCTGTGCTCCTCTGTCTCTGGCTCCGCCCATTCTGTGGGACTGATCCTGCAGACAAAAAGGAAAGGCCTCAGAACCAGCACTGATTTGTATATCGGGATGTGGAAACGTGCTTCACAAACATGCACCTCTCCTACATTGTAAAGAGTTGCAAGGATAAATACATCTCTTTGAACCCTCATATTCGGATACAATACTGTACACACTTGAACACAACGCGTCTCAGTACCAAATCTGAATCAAATTTTTTGGTGACAATTTCTTTGGACCTTTTGCACTTACCTGCCCACCAGGAATATGCAGAGACCTGTCAACAGGAAGGCGATGAGGATGCCCCCCCACATACTGGGGGAGAAGGGGGACAGCAGGCTGAAGCTGCTCCCTTCAGAGGCCTTGTCTCTACGCAGGAGGAAGCTGAGGCCTGTCTGCATGAAGGGGGTGGTCATGTCCACAAACTGCTCCCTGGTGGCCGTGAGGGTCAGCGAGGCCACGGCCAAGTCCACCTCCTGATGGGGGGGGGGGGGGGGGGGTTCGAATATCAATATCGTTTATGTTTGGTAACCATTTCAATTGATCACTTGCAAGCAAAATACTGTATATATTTGACCTACATAATGGGATTGGTAAAGTTGAATTAATTCATACATTTTTGAAAACTTTGGGTGTTCACTTCTAGATCAGGTTATTCTGATTGCACCAGTTTGGGATGCCACATTTAAAGCAATTAAGAGCTTCTTTAAAAGCTTGTGAAGACTTAGCTCACCACATGTTCCATTATGAATATTTTGGGTAAGCTAAAACACACATTACAAAGTGTAGTTTATGCTCCAACAGGATTGTGCTGCTATACTTTAAGCAGAGCCAGCACTGTGACCCACCCCTCTGATGACCTCCCCGATCATCCCGTTCCAGTTCCCGCTGGCGTCCATGGCTCCGTAGCGGTTGTCCTTCACCAGCTGCAGCTTGTAGCTGAAGCCCAGCCTCTTGGAGAGCTCAGAGATCAGGTCGATGCAGTATCCCTCCAGCTCGGGGCCTTTGCTCATGGTGTACGGATCTTGCTGAGGAGAACAGAACAAACAAATGATTTCCTCATGGATTATACATTGAGGGGGAGCTAGACGCAGCAACAGTTAAGGCAACACCATCCTTTAAAGATGACGAGGATATCTTTTTAAAAGATTAAATAAATAAATTGGTTATCTTTTGGATAAACTTATGATTTTAGAAGGTTTGTGATTTCCTTCCTTGTGCATTGTTTTAAATGTGGGGATATATCAAGATGGGAGGGATCTTAAAGATTTTCAGGATATGCACTAGCAGTATTTAAAGGTAAAATTATGAATTTCTTCCCAGTAAAAGTAAAGAAAATGTATAATTGAATAAAGGGCCAGATTATAAAATGGAATATTTTTTGCGTAAAACATATTGTACCTATTTGTCATTATCATTTATATCAGTTATGATTACTTTGTACTCATCAAGGTCCCTTTTGGAGATCTGGAAACACGTGACTTTGATACAACAATGTCAGCCGAGGTAGAAACAGGAGGAGTCAGACCACCTGTCTAATCCAGCAGTTCATCCTCTATTCAGGGGTAGGACTGAAAGTGAGGCCACTCAAATGTTATAATCCCTGAATGAACAGAAAAACTATACAGAACTTTTATAGGTACAGTTAGGGAAAGTTGGAAAAGGAAGAGTGACTATATGTTAACTATACTAGTTTTTTGACCCCATTTATTATAGGCAAGAAGCTGGCATGGGAAGTGGACGTTGTCACTGTTACCACTTTTGCTACGGTTTTAAAGCCTTGAGTTGAGGATTTTAGTCATTGTTATCTTGGGTTTGTGTCGTCTCCATCAACTTCTTTTGGAGCTCATATCAACTGAACGCTGAACGACATTTATACGAAACCAAAATAGTTGCCTGTTAGTTGCTGCTCTATCATCAATTTCCCTCTAAATAGGAACATGATGCTGTATTAAAAAAAGACATGGAACCAGTAATTGAGTCAACAATTGCATTATAAAAATATTTCATGAGGTAATAAAACCAGAAGTAGGTTGTTTTTCTTATATAATTATTTACAGTGCCCCCTGCTGGCCATTATAAACACATGCAGGTTTCTCTACTGTCATTGAAAAAGACCTTTCAAGAATTGAAAACAAACTGTAAAAGGGTTGGAGTTTTAAGAAGAAAACTTGGATAAGAGCCAGAGCGGACAATGCAGTGGTAGCAGCCTGTCAATCACAAGATAGTCCCGCCCTAAAGTGTAAACGCTATTGTCCATTTTACTCTAAATAGAACCATAATTTAAAAATGAACATGATGATTTATTAAAAAAGAATTGAAACTAGCAATTAAGACAATAATGTCATTAGGAAAATATTTACTTAGGTAATAAATCAAGTCTGAGGAAGGTTGATTTTCTTATAGACTTCCATACAATACTTCTGTCCGTTCTGCTCCTGATATACTGAAGCTTTTCTTGCAAATGCAAAAACACTTATTTGCACAACCAACCACCTTAAAGTAGGGATCATTTATATGCACACAAATGATATATCAGAAGCTAAAACTCTCATGATAAAAAAATAAATAGAATTGGCTTATATAAAGGCCGGTAACATCCTGTCTGATGTTCTGACTGATCATGTTCCTTCACCTCAGGGATCTTCACCACTTTGTTTTCTCTAAACCTTGCCAGTACAAGTGTATAGTTCAAGTAAGAGAAATTATGACCAAACTACCAAACTAAAAACCTTTTTTTAGTGAACCAGAATGACTCTTAGTAATTACATTTATGTTTCACAGATGGCTCTGCCACTTTGGCATTCTCAAGCAGAGAGTGGCACAAAGAAAGAATACCTTTATAGTGGTGATGGATAACTCCTTGGCATCTAGAATGGAAAACAAAAACAAGCATCACAATAAATTATCTGTAAAGAAGCAACTCAATGTAATTAAGCATGAGCAGCAACACAAAGATGAGAGGATTTAGACTAAGCCTGTTCCTTGGCTTATTAGGGGTTTTGGTCTCATGTCTACAGGCTTATGCAGAGCGGCGTCTGAAAGCCTAACGAAACATATTGTTGCTTTGAGTCCCCTTCATGTGTTTTTCTCTCAGCCACAGTCATAAATAAGCCAAACAGCCAGTGGAGGACAAAGACAGTCTTGGTCGGTTGTTTTTCAGGAGACCTGGAGAAAGGGGCTCCATAGTGAGGTACAGAGCGAGGGGGGGTGACTGGCCCGCAAATGGGGGATCAAAGTTGGGCTGTTGTTCCAGAACCCCCCCAACCCCCATGTAATCCAAGCAGAAGATGAACCCCATCCCCTGACATTCCCCAAGACTCTCAGAGTTGTTTTTCTTTTAGCTGTAACTGTGACCAATGGCATTCCCAGCGTGTCCAGAGCGCCCTAACATGCCCTGCCAGGATCCGTGGAAGGAGGGTGTGGGGGAAAACGGAGGTGCCAGGGGTGCAAGTTCCTCATAATTGCGTACCATGACAAAAGGAGCCTGGTTGTGTCATTTAGAGCTCATGACACCCCATCACCCTCCTCCGGGGAAGATGGCAGGACCGTGATGTGCGGAGATGGCTGTCAGTTCTCCGCCGGCAGAGTCTCCGTCCCACATGGTTAACTGATTGATCTCAGTGCTTTCTGGACCACAGATAGGAGGTAGCCCCTCCACTGGTGAGAAATGGGACGCTGCCCCGCTCTGCTTTGATTCGACTCCAGCAGGGTCAGCGGGCAGAGACTCAAATGTGAGGAATCACTTCGGGAGCGTGACCCAGCCGGAGCCCGCTGGCACCGGGCCGGGTTAGTTCTGTGGACAGGGAGCAGAGCCACGGCTGCTCTGGAGGGAAAACCTTAGAGGCAGGAACCATAAAGCAACTTGCAGCACAAAGCAACGTTCTAGTACGGAAGAGGATTAAAACCACCGATTTATGTCAGAATTTAAAAAAAAATAAAAAAAAATTCTTCATTTTTTTATTTTCTTCCAGAAAATCTCACAATTCTGACTTTCTTTTCACTTTAGGTCACATCTCAAAAACATTTTCTCATGTGGCCATATTAGTCCTCATCCATATTCTAGAATAAATCAGCAGCAACTGACAAAATTGTTGGACTTGAACAGAATTTGTTCAAGAAAAAAGGAAATTCTGCAAAACCCTGACTACGTGAATTGATAATAAATAACTAATCTTTAAAAAGTCTTCCTATCTACAATATCAGCACATGGCAACTACCTTATGGCTTGGGTTGGGCTCTATGCTGATTTATAAGGTTGGGCAACTTGCTTCGGTTTTAACCCTTATGTTGTGTTCGGGTCTCCCGTGACACATTTCAAGTAAAAATCATATAATAACTACGCTCTAGTTTTTTGTATTGGAACAAGGCTTCATGATATCCTCCACAACAACTATATAAACACCACAAAACTGATTAATAAGTTAGTTATGATGTAGAATACTATTGGATTATAGTAATTTATGTTTTGGACTGAAATAAATCATGGGTCAAAATTGACCCGCGAACAAGATGAACGGTAACAGTATTTGAACACAACACAAGGGGAGATGTTGATTTTTTTAAACAAGCTGAAAGTAAATGTAGTTATTTTATCAATTCTGGTCTCCCACATGAAAACAGGATGTGCCACACAGACCTCCTCACACCTAATAAGGACACAGCTTCCTGCTCTGACACAGAACACATTGGTTTGGGAGGTCCAACATTTTCCTACATAACATAATACAAAATACCTACTGGGCTCCAACAACCACAAATTATGCAAAAAGGAATTCGCATATCACTGCAGCACATCAAGCCTCAAGTATAGCAGCCAGCGTGGAAGCTAGCGTGGACGTTAGCCCGACTCGGAGTACAAGGACCCACACCCAATTCGCGTTGATCAAACAGTGGCCTATGCAACAGAGAGATTTTATTTTTCATCAGGATATTGGAAGAATAGGAGGGATTGAGGTCAATCACTGGCACTTTTTTATTTTATTTTAAATGGTACACTTTATGTTGAACTATGTATTATGTTGTTGGTGCAACTGGCACTTTATGTTGAACTGTTTATTGTTTTGGCCAAGGTTATTGAGAGAGTTGGACTGAAATTGTATTAGATTTTGGTAAATCAACAAAGTCTGTTATGGCCTCTGAAGCAACACAGAGATGTTTTCTAATAGTCAGGGTTTCCAATGTTCTGAATGTACTTGAAAGTATTGTGTTTTACTTAAAAAACAAAGTGTTATAGTTTACAGAAGGTCTACCTACCTATAGGCTACCTGAATCTCTGAAATGTACTATATTCCTAAATATGCTACACTTTATGGCAAAAATTGCACTTTTCTGTTGGTCTTGGTTAAGAACCACCTTGAAAAAAATAAACAATGTTTTGTTGCTTAAGCTTATGTATTCAGTCATTATTCAATGGTATACTAAAATCCATGTGAAAAAAATTGCTTCTCACTGTTCTCAGGTCAAATATTTATATGCGATTAAAAATGCGATTAATTGCGATTAATTAATTACAAAGCCTGTAATTAATTAGATTAATTTTTTTAATCGAGTCCCGGCCCTAGTTAAAACAGCACTGACTATTGCAGGTAAAGTTGTGGGATGCATTCTTGAGAAAAGAAACGATAAGTTCTGACATGAAGAGCATCAAGTGAAACAGGTTCATCCATCACACATATCCCAGCTCAACACAATGGCAAGTAAATGAGGACAATGTTATTATAAAATGAACATTAGTAAAAGTCCTGAATGAGATGTATTTTTTTTTAGTAATACAAATCACAGGACACATATACAAAGACAGCTTATTTAGAGTGTACCTTGTCCAATAAAAAGAAAATTAAAGAAAAGTTGCACTTAAGAATTTAACTTATTCAGCAGCACTTACAATGTATTGCTTGTTTGAATTACATTTGTCAGCACTTGTTCTTGTTGTTCTGAGTTATGGCTTATTGCACTTATTGTACATCGCTCTGGACAAAAGCGTCAGCTAAATGCAATGTAAAGTCCGAAGGAGCATGTTCCATGTGTGTCAGTGTCAGGTTGTTTCTCACCTGCAGTCACTGTCCCTGCAGTCAGAGCCGCCACACAGCACATCAGAGACATGAAGCCTGCCATGCTGCCAAAACCTGAAACAACACCATATCTTCACACGGCTCATTTCAGGGACGATTTGCCTGATCATGTTACAAATATTTAAATATTACTCAGTGATGTTCATAGTAGAAACAATGACTTTAATAAAATGCTGACACAAGTTATGAATAAAACAAATGTGGCTTACCTCAGTAGCGTCAGTTGGCGTGTGAATTATAACCCTTGATTTATTTAGAACAAGTCTTGGAAGTGTGCAGTGGGACTGTTTATGGGCAGGAGAGTGGGGTTTATATGGGGGAGGAAGGGAGGAGACAGAACCCCAAAGGGAGTATTCACTCGTGACTATTTAGCAAGTACTTTGGCAGAAAAAAGTTAGAGATATAATATCATGTTCCTGAAGCAGGATGTAGTATACGCCCACATTCTGGTTTGAAGGATATATATTTTGAAGCAGAACATGTGTTTTTCTTTCTTCCACCATTTGAACTCATAACAAAACAAATTTTTGAACTGTAAAACCTTAGAGTTACATGAAAAAATACATAATCAGATTACTGGTAATTCAAATAAAAATGTAAAAAATGGGGATTACTAGCAAGATAACAATGCAACAATACATTCAAGATTAACATCAAAATAGTATCCAAGTACTGCCTGGGTTTACTTTTTGGTCCTAATTCAGGCTACACCTCATCGTTTAACTAAATGATGTGTTTGCTTCTAATTCAAGTATTAAACTGAAACAGCATTTGTTAACTTTACTATTCTGTAGGCCAAGCCTATAAATTAAGAGACACATCTTTGGAGTGTGTGGGAGATAAACTCCATCTGGAGGAAACACAGGGATTTTAGCCTTTGCAGAATGGTAACATGCTTTAAAACTTATATAACACCTTACAGGAAAGGGAACAACCCAAAAAGCACAATAGGTCCTCTTTAACCGGAGGGACTCCTAAATCTTTCTTGAAACACAGCAACTGAAAACATGTGAAAAAAAGAGAAAACATCAGCTCAGTTAGTGATCTTATATTTTGTTTTCAAGGAAATAAAAAGCAATTCACTTATTTTGTCTGTGATGAGCTGTTTCCATATACACGAAATGATCTACTGTGATTCATATTGAATTAGTATCCCCAAAAACAAGACCCATGTTTGTCTTGGAAAATCCTACTTGATTTAGCAGAAGCTAACAACTCAAATTGATTTGCAAAACACCAAAAACAGGGAGTGATTTCATCAGAGGAGGGGCTGCTTTCATTATGTGAGATGAAAACTCTCTGAGGCCTGAAGTGCAGGAAAAGGCCTGGAGGTTCCAGTTGAGGGGCCCGACCGTGCCAAATTGTCTAGATAAATATGGCTTGAAGAGGGATTCTGTAGTTTCTTGGAATCCTAATTAAGCTGTCTTTTGTGTTTGTGTGCTGGCTGGAGCGGAGTCTGTGGTGCTGAAATGAACATGTCGCGCCTCACAAAGTGCTGCGAAGCTGGGAAAGGGTCCTGGCAGGGTCCTGGCAGGGCCCCACTGCTCGCCAGAGGTGGCCGTCAGCTTTGGAAACCACAGAGCGGACACAAAGGACCAATCAGTGTCCTGAGAGGCTTCACAGGGCACAGGAGCTGTCAAAGGGAGCTGGGTCAATATCACTATAAAGTAATGTTGGTGTCCCCATCAGAATCACTCAGTTATCATGAAATGTAGCAGAATAATGAAACTCTGAGGTCTTATTATAAATGACCAAATATTTACACACATATCAGTACAATGATAAGTCTCTTGAAATGTGTTTCCTTCATTTTATACCTTGTTTTTTAATTGGATGTACGTGATTTTGGCATGTCCCACTACAGTGTGTGTAATAAGTGGTTAAATGATACTACATTTAAAAAATAATTATATGGTTTTATTGTCCACAACAAGTTATTTGATAAAACGAGTCATTTAGATCATGTTTATTCTATTTTAATAATAATATTGAAAATGTTTCAAGTGTCCTTGACATTTGCTGTCCACCCTGTCATTAAGGGGTAACTGCCCCATAAAAAACCCTCTGATGTTTTCAGTGACATCACTACCACCATTTTGTCTTTCCTCACTTATATTTCGAAATTGTAATTATATTATGTGTGTAGTTGGATGTTGTCAAGCTTAACATGTCCACTCTGTCATAGTGAAATGTCAATTCATATAAAAACCTTTCAGAAACACGAAATATATGTGTTAAACACAATAAACAGTACACAGTCACCTTGCTAACTCAATCATGTTGCTAACTGAAGGTCCACCATGTGCTCATTAAATGCTAATGTTAGCCAAAAATGTCCACCCTGTCAGCAAGCCTCCCATAAATCATATAAAATGTACATTTTCAGAAAGCTATAGTCCCTTTCTCAACAATATATTTCAGTTAATAGAAAAAGTATTTGGATAATAATGACATTAAGGCAAACTATTTGTACCATTGTCCACCCTGTCAGCAAGCCTTCCCATGACAGGGTGGACATGGTACAAATAGTTTGCCATCATTTCATTAGTATCCAAATACTTTTTCCATTAACTGAAATATATTCTTGAGAAAGGGACTATAGCTTTCTGAAAATGTACATTTTATAATCACAATGTATTTATTCTTTGAATTGTGTCCATGACAGGGTGGATACATTTTGCTGTTTGCATGTACTTGCAGTTCATTTATAAAAAAGTGTGGGAGCTTGACCAACATCCATTTCTAACAGCATAACATATACTTAATACAATGAATATGAAGTTCAATGGAAAATCTCAGGGTTTTTTTTGGAAATGGGGAACTCTCAAATGCACTGTATGGGCTGATATTGACGGACCAGTTGATCGCAACCATTCCCATACCTTCAAATGTAGCATTCATCATTACTGTTATCATCAGGGTTGGGAGGCTTACTTATAAAATATACATTGTTAACAATTACTAGTTACCTCTAAAAAGAAATGTAATCAGTAACCTAGTTTTAATATAAAGTTATAAAAAACGTAAGCCTGATTACTTCTCTTCTTACTTTTGGATTCATTAATATCAAATATAAATGCGAATAAATATAAAGAAAACCCAATATATTTAGTATGAAAAAAATGTTCCTCTGCTCAGAGATCTTATTGATGGTAAAATCTGCGTTTCATGAAGCATATTCAGGCAGCATCCTATACCCGCACACTGAAACACATGAGCACAAACTACAGTTTAAAAAAAGCAGAAAAATCTGAGGATGACTCAAAATGCTCCGTTTTACGTTTAATACTCACAGTAAGCTAAACACACTATTTTCATGAACATATAAATGTCATCTGCTGAATTAAAACAGAACAAATGAACCAAAGGAAAGAGGAAAACCATAAAGCAGATTCAGGCAGTAGAAGTATAGTATTTATTCACTCTTAAAGTATTATCCTAGCAGAACAGTTACAGGCTCACAGAGAAGAGAGAACATCTAATCCCTCTACAAACAAACAACTATTATGATCTTTTTGAGATTTTACTAACATTGTAATCACTGCATAGTTATCCCCATTTTTTAAATGTAACAGTAATTGATGTACATCTGTTTTTAATGCTAACGTAAGGGGAATACAGTCTCCCCAAGC